AACAGCAGGCACAACTGTCGCTATAAGACGAACATGTCTCCATGTGAAGCTTTTACTTATAACACACACATTACTAACATCTGCTAAGACTGCTAAGACTGCACGACGGCAGTAGCGCAAGTTTGCGGCAAATATAGAGTTTACAACTTATACTGGACTACCACTGAACTAGAACATAACACACTCAGCTAACAACACCATACAGAAATATTCATAAACGTACCTCGGTTCCTCATTGCATCGGTTGAGCGGGCCTTTCCGCGCTTTCTTAGATTTTAATACTTTTAAGCGATAATAAAAGTAAAATTGATTAAAGATATAAATTTTTTTTTTTTTTTTTAATAAACTAAATACAATGCATAATATTTTGTTTTTGTAAATAATGTTTGTATAAAATTTTCAAATCTGCATGATAAAAATTTACTGGGCAGCGAGTTAAAAAAAAATAACGTTTTAGCAAATGGTTTGCGCAACGGTGCAACAGAGAATCACATGACGTCTAGAATTTGGTGTTTAGGTTGTCAGATGTGTAAAAGATTTCGTAATTTGTCTTAGCTAAATGATATTGATCTTACGCATAATGTTGGGTGGGGCGTTTGTGTTACTTAAGAAAGCTGTTTCTTTGTGAATACAAATTTACATATTTCTGGGTGTTGCTGCAGCTCAGAAAGATGAGAAACTTTCTCAAGGTTGGCAACGGCGACCCATAACTGCCCGCATAATATTTTTTACGCCGGCGCCATGTACTTTTGTCGCACAGGCACTTGAACGTCTCAATAAAACAAAGAGTAAATAAACACGAAATGTATTTACTACCCAAAGTCCTTAATGTTTCTGCTACTCTAAATTTCGCCTATAATCACTTGTAAATGCGGCGCAAATGCTCATCTGCACACACAACTCAAAACGCAGCCACAATTCACCGCACGCTTGCTGCTGCACACTGACAGTGAACACACGGTTGAATATATATAGGCAGGTAAGAAAGCGTGCTGCCAAAAATTCGCGTCCGAGCCTTGCTTTATTTTAATACTAATACAACACAAATATTCAAGCATTCTACTCCATCCATTTGTTTCTAATTTGAAGAACAGTGTTCACTTGTTATAAAAACATACTGGCTGTGTTTCGTAACGCGATGCTGTGTCAACGGCGAAATCACACAAAGCCTGACGGAATCTTGCATTTGCTGCGCGTTGCACAGTTTAATGTATATGGCTGGCGAATGCAAGGAAACGCCCACCGGCGCTCTTTTCGTGACCTGCATTTTTCGGGGGCCGCAGAAGCTCCACTGGCGGGCTTTGAACGGGGCTGGCGTACGGAAGTTGGAAAGCGGGCGTGGTAGTTTCTCGATAATGCAGTGCGCCGCCTATAGCCGCTTACTTGCAAGCATTTAACCACCTAAACTGCGCAAGGAGCAAACGAGGAGAATTTCAGTCAGCTTTGTGTGATTTTCGGCGAATGACAAAGCTCGTTATGATACACAAACCAGTATGTTTTTAATAAGCAAGTGCCAGCACTGGTTCTTCAAATAGAAACAAAGATGGAGTAGAATGTTTGAATATTTGTGTTGTATTCGTATGGAAAATCAAGCGAGCGTCGAGCGAATTTTTGGCTAGCAACTGCCTTCCTACTTGGCTATTATTTTTATGTGTCGCGTGTGCAGCAGCTAGCGTGTGACAGTCTGTTTGGAAGATGAGCATTTGTGGCGGCATTTACAGAAATATGCCGGGCAATAATAGGTGAAAGATGAGTAGAGAAACTTTAAGAGCTGGTAGTAAATAGATTTCGTATTTATTTAGCATTATATTATTATGAAACGCTGGCAAGTCGCCTGTGCTTTTGTACTAATAGTAATATTAATATGTAATCATGTATCGCGTATCTATCGTGGCAATATACAGTCTGTACTAGTGATGTCACGATCATCGATTATACTCGATCCTCGGTTGAAACAGTGGGCTGCGAAACCAAGGCGCTTGGTTATCAAATCCATAATCGATTTCATCCAAAAAATAAAAAAATATCGTCAGAAATAATGTAAACTTGAACAATGAAAACTTGGAAAAGGTGATGAGGAATCAAGAGATATTATCGCTACATACAAGTTATCCTTTATGTAACATACATGTATGTAATTATACACACCAGTAGTAAACAGTGCAAAACCAACAGTAAACAGGGCTAAACAAGCATACCATGCACACACAGTACTAGTGCCAGCACGACGTTACGGCCCACGCAGGCATTCACACACCTGAGTAAAGCGATTTTGTAACCGGATGATCGATTACGAAATTACAACCGATTGAGCAACACTGAGTCTGTACTGTAGCATACTAGCTACACTAAGCAACACTAGTCTGTACTGTAACACTGTACTGTAGGTTACTGGAGTTCTGTCACATGCATAGGCTGTGGCATCATCTTAATGGCTGTACTAACGAGTTAGTAACTTTAAACTTATTATAAACATGAAAATGTTTTGTCTATTAAATATTATACTTTGCAGTGGCTATGCGTCTGGAACCGTCACGCTAGCCTGGCCAGGCTTACGCATACGGACCATCCTACTCACACAGGTGATCACGCCGACTTGCATACACGGCATGATTGCGCAATGGGACGCTCTGCTGATTGCCGTAAATAATACATGATATGCACTGCTGCCATCTATCCTTTCATCCCGTTCTCTCTCTCTCTGCTCTCTCCAGTCTGCTATTCTCTTTCTGATCTTCTCTTTTCTTTCTCTTCCTCTCTCTCATTTCTATCTCGTCCTTCTCTCTCTCCCACACACACAACACAGCACACACACACACACACCACACACACAGCGGCGGGCAGCACACAGCACACACCACGAGCGGCACACACACACACCCGAGGCGTGCAGCACATTGCACATAACACATTCCCCCTCACTCTCTCTCTCTCACGGCACACACCCCACACTCGGCAATCAGCAGAGCGTCCGGCGGTTGCGCAATCATGCGTGTACGTGTCGCAAGATTGACTGTGTGAGATGGATGTCGCGGACGCAGTAGCTTAGCGGCTACCTCGTTCGGGAAACCAGGTCGGCGTAGCGCCAGCGGCCAATATTATATTAAAGGCAGTGGATGGAGGTAGCACGGCAGCCCCGTATGCTCCAATTTAAGAGGCTGGAGGTACGGCAGTCCATATCGCTATTCAATACAAAGCGAGAACAAAAGATGGCGGCAGCTCAATTCAGATTTCAAAATAAAGCATTGAGGAAAATAAATCATGAGATTTGAGAGTTATGATGGCAGAGGGCTTGCCCTGTAAGCTTTTTTTTCAGGTGGCCGCCAGGCGCACTTTGAGTAGATGAGATTCAGGTGGCCTAAATGGATTTTACAGGTGCCCGGTTGCCTACATTTATTAAATAATTTATTTGTCTTCTAACTCATCGAGTAATGTGTATTTGGCAAATCATCGCAAATAACAATAACTAGATTAACGACAAAAACAAAGAAAGAACAAAACGACCTGAACGTGAGTTAAATAAGTTTTCCCAAATATTAAAAAAAGCTTTCAAATTCCATCTGCAGTATCTTTATTAAGTAGACAAGAACTTGCATGTCATTAAGATGTCAATCAAAACTGTCCTTCACATCATTCAATGTCAAGTGTGACTGTCCATCTGAACCTTCTAGATGAATCAGACTCAATTTCTGACATGGGGTCAGATGCCATCAGAGTCTGGCACTCAAAGGCTGCTGGTCTATTTTGCACATCCCTACACCTCTCCCACCTACACCCTCCTGCTGTCTCTAAGCAGTGTATTCATCGCTACAACCCATACCGCGCCCTACGCCGCTCTCTGTCCTACTAACAGTGTATCATCCCTACACGACCCTCCCCCTACACCCTCCCTGTCCTCTCCAGTGATCAATCCCATACACAACGCCTCCCCCCTAACAACCCCTCTCTGTTTACTACAGGTAATCATCCCTGACACACGACTCCCACGACAGTACCTACACCCTCTCTGTCTCTACAGTGTATCATCCTACACTGCCTGCCCGTGTCGGGCTACAGTGTTATCATCCCCTACACCCCTCCCACCCTACACCCTCAATCTGTCTCTAACAGTGTATACATCCGCTACACCGGCCCTCCCCCTAACACAACCCTACTCCTGTCTCTACAGTGTTCAGTCCCTACAACCCCTGCCCCCTACACCCTGCTCTGTCCCTAAGTGATATCATCCCTACACCCTCTCCACCCTACAAGCCTCTGTCTGCTCCAAGTGTATCATCCCTACACCCCTCCTCACTACAAACCCTCTCTGTTTCTACAGTGTATCATCCTACACCCCTCCCTACAGCCCGTCCCTGTCTCTACAGTGTAATCATCCCTACACCCCCTCCCCCCCTACA